AGCTAGAATAGCGACAATTTTTGGTTTAATAAGGATCAAAAAGAAACGCTTTGTGCATTTGTAGATGGGAAAGATGTATGTGCTTTTCTTCCAACAGGATTTGGAGAAAATTTGATTCATTAGCTTACGAAACGTCACGATTCGCTGCTACGATTGGCTGTAAGCCTATTATGGAAGGCGGGTGCTAGCCGGCATGTCACCCAATCAGCTCGAAGTATTGTACTAAATGTTCCTCCTTTTCATGGACAGACTGAACAGCAACCATTCCAGCTTGATAACGTAGAACTCAACTCAGTTCTACACATATATATCTGGCTACTGCCAGGTTAAGTCGCATCTTATAATCCACAAAATCCATCTCAAATATAAAGCTTCGACTGTCTTCTAGATCGGACCATTCAATATGGACGCTCTTGACATTACATCCCCCTAACAGCGTAGAAACTTCCGACCCGAAGTATGTTCAGGAAAATAAGCTACAGGCTCATAGATGCAGACGCTGAACTACTGAAGTGTCAAACGATGTTTTAGTCGAAAAGGGTCAAATAAAAAAGCTATTTTAAAGATATTATTCAGTTAAAACTTACAGAACTTCTCCTAAAAATACACTTACAGTATCTGTTTTTGTAAAGTCAGTGAATTTATGGTTAAACTGGTTAAACAGGTCTGTCTCAGTCAGTAGTTTATCTAAGGTTAAAAATCTGTTCAGTGTATTTGCTGTTTGTTCCCTTTGATTAGAAAACTAATTAAGACCAAAATTATTCCAACCAGTGAAATATAGCAAGAAGGAAAATTTCATTTAACCGAGAAGTTTGTTTCTGATAGCAAATGGAAGAGGCAATACCTAAGAAGAGGTCTCTCCACTCCCAGTTAAAGAAACATGTTGGTCAAATGTTAGGAATAAAATAATTTGTCTATACCGGTATATATGAATATAAAAAATTAATCTCTTTAAAGGTGTGGGTGCCAATAAGTGTGGAGTGCTGTATATTGTTTGGCCTTGGCTTCAAACATCTGTATTTCAAGTAGACCTTAAGGCTCCTTCAATGTATAGAAATATCATTGGAATTGTTTTTGCTGTCTCATTTCAGTATACACTATAACATTCTGTGCAGTAAAGAGGTAAAATTAACGTGAAGAGATTATCTGTCATGTTTAATTCATACCTGCTCTCTTATAGTCAATCAGCAAACTGCTTGGAGTTTGCATTGCTTGTCTTTCATCTAAGAAAAATAGTCAGTCTTACATTGAGTTTTGATATCTAACCAATCATTACACGCCAACCTTTCCAGGTATGTCGCTCTTTAATACTGTGTGTGAATTCACACAGCTGGATCATCTGAGGAAGTTAATTCGGACCTCCACTGTGAGATGCGCGTGATGGGGTTGCTGCAGTAAGAAGACACATGACCGAGCCAGCTCCAAAGCTTCCATATGGAAAAGGAGATACAGCAGGAGAGATTTTTGGTCAAAAGATAGGGGCGTACATTCAGGCAGCTGTTTTTGAAGAATAAAACAGAATAGACAGAAAGATTGAGTTCATGTAAAACGATTCCAGTACACAGATTACATTTTTAGGGGATACTTCTGATTTTAACACCGATGTATTTCAGGCTTGGCACATCAAATTATATTTTATGAGTGATAAAATAATTTAAAGATGTACTGATCAGATTTTTATGGCATATTAATTCCAATTTGTTTGTCTTTTAAATGTTCAAAATAGAGATATTATATAATGTAACAAAGAACATTCAACATATTTTCAAGGCTTTCCACCATAAGACGTCATTATTGACTAACATGAGAATCAAGGACTTCACAATGTTTTTTAGAGCGTATTTCCCATCAAATAAAGGCACATTGATTACAGAGCCAGGTTGTTATGATTAGGGCTAAAACAATTAATCGGATTAGTCATGATTAATCGATTATTGAACTAATTTAGAAATCGACTAAACTGAATATAGACTATAAAACATGCCTTTAGCTGACAGAGCAACCCACTTAGAGCAGCAGCTATAGCAAAATTGTAAATAGATATGCAAATATTTTACATTTAAGATAAAAAAAAAAAAATTTTCTCCTGTCAATATGTTCTATCCAGAAACTGCTTTAATTTAGTAAAAAAAATCTTCTTTAAGGAAGCTTTGGTTATCCAATTATTAATCAAAAAAATAATCGACAGATTTATCTAATTGCAAAATAATTATTAGTTGCAGCCTTAGTCACAACACTACAGTTTCTAACTTAATATCAATAAACAGGAAAATATTTGATATTATAGTTATAAAGCATAAAAAATAATCAAAGGCTTGAAAATATTATTTACATGAAAAACTACCCTTTTTCGTGCTCGACATAGAGCATGTATTTTCAATAGAATCACATCAGCTAGTTAAATAAGTGTGCAAATAAAACAATGCAAACAAAGAATTAAGATTCATAATGTTATTGTAACTAAAACAGCCAGTATTTTTCTGTGGGGATGTAAATCTTCACATTAACAGTAAATTTAAAAAACATTTGATAGTTCAAGAGATTCATGACAAAGGTTAAAGTAAAACAGAGCAGCTTTGCTGGCCTATGTGGAGCCCTCCTAAAATTAATGGTTTATCTCTTTTTAAATAGCTTTTTTCATCTGTGTGCCTCCTTTGACTTCATTTTGAAAAAACATACTCATAAAGAAATGGTTTTCTTCCGAAAGTGTAAGTGTCAACGTAGTTAGGGTGGATTTACTGACTGGTCAGCTTCAGACAACCGATCACTAGTTGAGTTAATTAGGTTAAAAACCAGTCAATTCAGTCACCAACTGATTTTTCAGTGCCTCCAGAATCTTGATATACAGCCAAGATTATTGAGTTAGAGATAATTGAGTTTGTTTGATTTTTCTCTGTTAAGTGGGATTCATTATATTATAGTCAATCTCATGTCTTATAAAAGCTTTGTATCTTTTTCTGATTTGTCTCTTGTTGTCACCTGCAGTGTCTTCGTTTGATCTGACTTTCATTCAGTTTGAGGTTGAGTTTTTCAGTGGCCTTTCCTTTTGCTAACACTCCTTCATATTTGCTGTACAAAGGGGAAGAATCAAAGTGAGAAAGAGAAAGGAAGAGGAAAAATTAAGGACTGCTATTCCTGTTTTTGTCTCTCAGGTGAGTGAGACTGAGATCAATGGCCAGTTTGAGTCAGTTTGCGAGTCCGTTTTTAGTGAAGTAGAATCCCAGGCCATGGAGGCCTTGGACCTGCCTGGCTCGTTCCGCACTCGAAGCCACAGTTACCTCCGTGCAATTCAGGCTGGTTATTCCCAAGATGACGACTGCTTGCCTTCAATGACATCCTCCACTGTCACTTCAACTCTCAGATCCACAACAGGTAAAACAAACCCCTCTCCCCCCCAAAATGAAAGAGGGCTCAGTCTACATATCGCCATACATCGTATACATGCGCACAAACCTGACATACCTACATATGTACAGTGGGGAACCCTAAAGATCCAAAGATGCCAGGCTGATTTCCTTTCATTTTCTTTGGGTTCTGTGGTGTTTGTATGTCTGTTTTTGCCACTGCCAAATCCCAGTAGTTTAGATGATTTGCTCCTCTTGTAATTTGCATGAACTGTGCATTAAGTTTCCACATACATACTTTCCAGAAGTAAAAGGTTATATTTCAGATTTATTTTATTAATGCACACAGAAACACAGTGTGCATTCATTCACAGTGCAGCACAGCTACATTACAAGGCATGCACAACAGGAGTAGCCTTTCCCTCAGCATGTTAAACTGTGTTGCTAAATGTGTGGCAAAGCCTGTTAGTTTACTTAGGGAGGAGTTTCAGATCTGATGTCGCGCAGGGGTAGGGGACGGGTATGACCTCCAACTGCTCCATTAGGTGCACAACTAGTAAATCAAATTTTAACTAACCACATATCCAAAAAAATAGAAACCAATTTAAGGTAAGTCAAGAAAATCTAGATATAGAAGACTTGTACCACAACATACTGGTTATTAAAGGTAAAAGAGTATTACTCAAAAAATAAAAATTGATCGCCCATTTTTTCCGCCTTTTTTTTTTTTTTTTACAAGACTATTGTATTGTGCTGCATAAAACTGTTAACATTAGTCATTAAGAATAACTAAATGGTTTTTTTTTATCTGCTTTTTGATGGAAACAGTAAAGATTTTTAACTGTTAATATCAATGGTTCATTTCTAATTCTGACTAATGTGTATAATGCAACTGCAGACCTTTTATAACTTTAGAAGTACTTTTTTAAAATTGTATTCTCTAATGACTCTTCTATTAACTGGAATTACAATATGTTGCTTTTTAAAATACAATCGAAAATAATTTAAATGTTTTATGTAACACAATACATGGTATACAGTATAAAGGCTCACACGCTTCAGAATCTATGTGCAAGCAGAATCTCTGCAGTACCTCCCTGAGTAAATGTATTTGATGTTTGCCTGCGAGTGTAAAGCTATGAACCCTATTGAAATTTTTTTGTCTATATGAACTGTTTTTCAACATTACAACTTAAGCTTTTTGATCTTTTGATGTGTTTTTATTTTTGGACACATTTGCACTTTTACCTCTTTAATGGTTTTGTGTAATTATTGAATCTGGAGTATGATTCTTTTTTTTTAATCCTGTCATCCTTAATTGGGCTTCCATCTACAATTTCTTCGTGACTGAGCGACAGTGGATAAAGGTCTTCAATCCCACCGTCTTGTTTGCTGAACTCTATTGACTTGGCCATCAGCACCAAATCTTTTAACTTGATATAAACAAAACAATTATTTGACGTAAGGTTGTATTTTGAAGCTTAAAATGATTTTACTCAAAGTAATATAGTTATTTGGTGATCAGATGCTTCCACATTTTCATTGGTGTTCTCCTTTCACTGTTCTTGGAGAACAGTTTTCTTGAAATTAAATGCAATCACCAAACAAAACAATTTACAATATATTAGATCGTGGTTTCTTTTATAGTAGCATTTAGGACTAGTTTCAACCCTGAGATTAGTGGGCCCTTGAACGGGAAAAGGAATCCCATGATGCTCTATAGGGCAGACGAGCTACAAACCCCTCTCCATTTGACCATCCAGATGTTGAAGGATAACCAGGGGAAAAGAACAACTGGAGGCATCAGTGATGATTGTTTCAGGTATTTTAATGTTGACATGCATACATATCTATGTATATGTGTGTTTCTGCACTGCCTTCTCAGTAGAACTGATAGAACCATAAAGTTTAAGTTACCCTAAGTAGCAAACACAGTTCCAAACAACTCATAAAACCTCAGACATTGTGACTATATTTCTTCTTTAACACTGGTACCACTGAATATAGAATTTCAAAGTGATGAATGTGATGCTGGCTTTTGTGAGTTGTTGATCATGTCTCTATTTAAGTGTTTTTAGACCATATTGTAAGTGTAACCACATCAGAAATGTAATTCAGAAAGAATTTCAGAATGTTTTCATGTCGCAACCATAAAATAGAAGTAAATGTCATCGCCTTGCCACTGTCTCCAATCATTTGTCAGGGTGGCATCTGCCTGCTGTACATGTGTATTTTTTTTTTCTTGCCATAAAAATCAAAGGCCATCTGTGGCAAAGTCTAACCTTTGGAACTGAGTTTGTCAGCTGTCTTTGACTGTGGGATTGCAACCTCGTTCTGATGGGGCCTTAGAGGCAGAGGGTTTACCTCTCCTTTGCTGGGTTTTCACAACTCTGCATGGTCTTATCAGACACTTTGGACCTGATCTTTTCAATAGGGTTCATATTTGCTTCTTAACCCCGTGGGTTGTGATTCCTCCACTCCCTTTACATCTTTTCTTTTGCACAAAATGGCACACTTTTGGAGTGCTGGGTAGTATTTGGCATGCTTGAAAAAAGGGGTCCTCAAAGAAAGGATTTTTGATTTGATAACAATTGATGTATTTCACTTTTTGTTGTGGTGTGCAGTGAAAAGATGGAAAGAAGCCGTGAGATGACTGAGAAGGCAGTGTAAAAACATTGTGAAAACCTGCAGTATGTGAGTTTATAGGAAAGTAATACTTCTGTGAAGTACAGTGACAAACATATTTGTTAGCTGTTTTAGAACGTATGAAATTCCCTGAAGTTACATTTAAAGGAGAAGTTCACTTTTTAACACTTTAAGCCCATTTTCTGTAGTGTCCAGGATGAAATCGAATGATCGACACCAAA